CTTGCTTCTTCCCTCGACTTTAATGGGAATATATTTTCGAAGAATGTTGCATTCCTCGATTCCATTATCGTGTTCTTATGTATTTCTGGATTGTCAGATCTATACACTAAGAATCGATACGCGCTACCACTGTAGCCAATAAAGATTCCATCAACAGTCTTTGGACCAATCTTTATTTTCTTTGGTGGTGGTGCTAAAACCTTTGCAAGGCACCCCCACACTTTCAGGTATTTATAGGAAGGTTTCCTATTATACCACAACTCGTAAGGAGTCTTATCGAGTTTCTTTCGGGGTATTTTATTTAACAAATAGTTGCTAGATAAAATAGCCTCCCCCCGCATATTTTGGGGTAGCCCCGAACTAAGCAACATCACATTCATCATATCTTTGAGAGTGCGATTTTTCCGTTCCGCCACACCGCTTGATTGAGGTGTGTATGGCGGAGTTACCTGATGCACAATTCCATGTTGTGCACACAAATCGGCGAAAGGAGCTTCGTACTCCCCGCCCCTATCACTCCTAATCGCTTTAATTTTGCGATTGAGTTGATTTTCTACTTCATTCTTATACCGAATGAAAGTGTCCAACGCCTCATCTTTACTTTTAAGTAAATAAATATAGCAATACTTCGTGCTATCATCGACAAAAGTGATAACATATTTGTTACCACCTCTTGTAGGCGTTGATTTGAAATCACACAGATCCGTGTGAATTAAATCCAGTGGCTGAGTGGTTCGCTCAATTGTTTGAAACGAACTTTGCGTTGACTTTGCTTCGACACACGTCTCACATTTGTGGGACTGGTCGATGTCAAACTTAGGGATATATTCCATGTTAATTAATTTCCGAAGAGATGCATAATTAACATGTCCTAGTCTTCCATGCCACACATTGGAGGACTCACAAACATAGGCAACATGAGTTTTATTAATTTTCTCAACAACAGTGAGTACATTAAGCTTAAAAAGCCCATCAGAAATATAACCTTTGCCCATGAATATTCCCTTTTTGCTCAAGATCAGCTTATCAGACTCGAACACCATGCGGAATCCATGTTTGTTCAATAGTGAGCCTGACACCAAGTTCTTTCGTATGTCTGGAACATACAACACATCATTCAGCGTGAGCTCCTTGCCGGATGTCATCTTGAGCTTAACTTTGCCCACGCCTTGAACCTCGGATTGGGCAGAGTTTCCCATCCACACCTTGTCGCCAGAAGTCTCCTTAAAGTCAAAGAGCATGGCCCGATTGGAGCAGATATGACGAGTTGCTCCGGTGTCAACCCACCACTCTTTCGGGTTAGACCCGACCAGGTTGACCTCTGTCACGACAGCACAAAGGTCCATGGCATCTAGCTCCAAGCAGAGAGCTTCTTCCTTCTTCTGCTTCTTCTTCTGAGGCTTCTTGCGGCACTCTGAAGAACGGTGGCCCGTAATGCCACAGTTGTAGCATTTTCCCGCGAACTTGGGCTTCGCGACGCCTCCTTTAGGACCAAGCTTCTTCTTGTCCTTATTCGGCTTGGGCCCTTTGGAAGAACCCTCTTTGGATGGATGCTCCACCACATTGGCCTTAGCAACAACTACTTTCTTCTCGCGAGTGAGACCCTCTTCACGGATCCGGAGACGAACAAGCAACTGTTCTAAAGTCATTTCTTTCTGTTTGAGCTTGAGATAGCTTCGGAACTCATCCCAAGCTGGCGGGAGCACATGAATAATCGCCGCCACTTGGAATGCCTCACTGACTCCCATTCCCTCGTCAGTGCACTCATTAAAAATGAGAATCAATTCTTCAGCTTGACTGACCACGGGTTTGGAATCCACCATCCTAAAATCAAAGACCTTACCGACAACGAATTTCTTCGCACCGGCGTCTTCGGCCTGGTATTTGTTGGACAGTGTAGTCCACAACTCCTTTGCGGATGCAGCCCTGCTATAAACAGCATATAAGGCATCGCTCAAGCAATTCAGGATAAGGTTAAGGCACGTATAGTTATTCGCTATCCATGCCTCTTTAGCCTGAACTGTTGGCTCATCCGCGTTCTCCCCCACAACAGGGGATCCTCCCTCAAGTACCTCGCAAGGTTGAGGGTGGTCAGCCAAAACAACATCCTTTGCTGCCATATTTTAAAACCAACACCTGTGAACTTTACCAGTTCTTTGACAGAGTTCGCAGGCAGCATGACAGTAGGATGTCCGACCGGTGCGGATGTGAAGACACCCGTGTTCGGTCCAAGTGAGGGAATGACCGGTATGGCCGAAGCCATATTCGGTCCGAATGGGGTGACCATTGTGGTCGTGGCCGCGGTTGGTCCAATAACCGAGGTGACCGGAGCAGACCCCATAGTCGCGCTCGATCCAACGAATGTGGTGATCGGAGTGGACCCCACGGCCGCACTCGATCCGAAAGGAAAGTTGATCGGAGTGGTTTGCCCTACAGAGCCACCCAATCCAGCCGAAACGTTCACAACTGGAGTCTCGGAACTACTCCCGTTTCCAGTGTGAGCGTCAAAACCGAATCCGTCCATACCCGCCATTGCGCACGGATATGACTACTACCTTAAGATTGTTACAATTTTTGTACGGATTACAACGGACGGGGAAGATGAACGGCCCCGGTAATAAAAATAAATAAAATTCTGAATTTATAATTTATTCAGAATATTACAAAATAAATAAAGTTGAGAAAAATTGCTATATCTTCAAACGGCCTTGTTGTACGAGGACATTAAGGACTGGATAGTGAGGACGTTAAGCACTGGACAACGAGGTCTTTACGCACTGGGCAGCGAGGTCTTTAAGCACTGAACAACAAGCAAAGGATGTTATGCACAGGGCTGCGAGGACATTATGCACTGGGCTGCGAGAACATTATGCACTAGGACAGAATGCAGCGAGGTCTTTATGAACTGAACCTGCAAAAACACAACACCGTGGAAGGATAGCGGAGTCGCCGGAGCTGTCCTTAAGGTAGTAGTGCCCGCCTACCGTACCGGAAAACGTGGGCACTCTCCTCCCAGGATAAAACCGCTATCGTGTGTGGAGATTGTATGGACCAACCACACACCAACGAACAAGAACAACGTAGGAACGTTGACGACCAAAAACTTTAAAGGGGTTGCCGGAAAAATTGGCCGGAAAATCAAGAGCTCTCTCTAAAAGAAAATAATAAAGTGTTTTCTCTTTTTTTTCACGCAAGGCACACACCAAACAAAATGAGAGAGCCTTTGATTTTTATAATAAAGGAGTTTAAAAAGTTGTAACTCCTACACCATTAACCCATTGAATTAATCATGGCATTAGTGGTGTGTTAATGGTGATTAATTAGCCATTAACACGTCCGTTACGCTACGCTCCGTTTAAAATTTGTCCCGAATAATTGGAGATTAATGGCCAGTTAACTCCGTAAAAATGGACTAATTTTAAACAATACGTAAAATTAATAAAAGAAGATTGGTTCAGTNAATGAGAGAGCCTTTGATTTTTATAATAAAGGAGTTTAAAAAGTTGTAACTCCTACACCATTAACCCATTGAATTAATCATGGCATTAGTGGTGTGTTAATGGTGATTAATTAGCCATTAACACGTCCGTTACGCTACGCTCCGTTTAAAATTTGTCCCGAATAATTGGAGATTAATGGCCAGTTAACTCCGTAAAAATGGACTAATTTTAAACAATACGTAAAATTAATAAAAGAAGATTGGTTCAGTAAAATTGCAAAAATTGCAATCCTCACCATATATTTTTATTAACGGGTTAACTCTGAGAATCAATTTCTCATTCACCCTCTACCATTTTTGGCGTATAAATTGTCAAAACATTTATCTCATTTAAGAGAACACACGTCCATTAATAAACGGTTAAAACTGTTAGTGGACCTATTGACAAATATACCCAAATTGGTCCATTTAATGCCAATTCAAATGCCAAAAATTCCAACATCCTCTACTTTGTTTCTCTCTCTACCTTGGTGTGTTGAAAACCACACACACATGTCTACCTTAGTCTCACTCTTTTTAAAGCAACCCAAAGCCTTTCAAAACTTGGACTCACCCGTAGATGCATATGTAATTGCCTAGAAGGTGCAATCCATTTGTTGATTTGCACCAATCCAAAGAGATAGAAACAAAGACCAAAAACAACTCTTCACATGCATGTTGTACGTCCAAGTGCATGTCATTTTTCTGTTTCTTTTTTTTTTATTTCTTTTTTTTATTTTTCTTTCTTTTGAATATTTAATCAAATTCCCAACAATGCATACCAAGACGTCCAAAAGGTTAATTATCGTCTCCATTCATGTCTATTTATTTGTTTAAAATGATTATTATCTGTATCTAATACATAACATCCATTGAAAAGTAGATATATATTTGATAATCATAGATATGCACATTCATTTGAGTAATCATTTATCCACTTGTATGATCTATAATTCATCATCTTTCTTAATTTAAGGTATTTGTTTACTAGTTACAAGACCAGTCTTTAACAATTTCTTTTTATCCATTTTCGCTACTCATTTGATAAAATAATATAATCATGTCACATCTAATTTTTAGAAATCTTTATGTAATTTTTAAATATATAAAGCTCTTTTTAATCAACAACTTTTGAATAAAATGAATTATTAATCATTTCAATCAAACTTCATAAATAATAACATGCAATTTAAATTGGACAGAAAGGGTATGTGTTATATGTATCATACTTTATATATTAAAAAGTAATTTACTCACAAGAAAATCAAAGTATGAAGATATCTCCATGTAACATTATATGTGTAATATCTACCAAATAAGCTTAGAAGATTTAATTAGTAAAAAATTTAACTAAAAATTGAAGAAATTAATTTGGGCTAAGTACTTGACTTGGGCCAAACCCAACAACTAATACACACACACAAATAAAATTAGTGGCGGGGATGACCGGCAACGGGGGTGGCTGGCGTTGACCATGCTAGCGGGTGGTGGAGAATTATTAACGATTGATAAAAATATTAAATCCCCGTATTGATATCTCCCAAATTCGGGAGATATCGAAACCCTCTATTGTAATTATTTATGATATCTAAAATTATTGAATTCGATATCTTTTTTAACTTGGCCAAACAAGATAAAAGAATTTTAATATTTAGAAATATCTAAACTCATATCTTATTTGCTCTCCTAGCACATGGTTAATTTCTTAGAGTTATGATGTAAATATATAAAGACGGACACATACTCATTGTCTCATTTCATTTTATCAATTTTGATTTTTGTAGTAAACATTATAGAGAGATGCTAGAGATACACCAAAAGTATACCCCAAATGTAAACCAGATACTTTTTTATCATTCATTTTATTTTGTTTTTATTTTTTATTTTTATTTTTTCATTTTGAATTTTACATGCTTTTTCCTACACTATATTACTTATTTCTCTACACAAATAATAACCGTCTTCATTCGCTTTGTGAAAAAGAAAAAATAATCAACATTCTATTTTATTAAAAATGGTGGAAGTCAAACTAAGAAAAAAATTACTCCGTAACACAGTAATAATTAATGACCAATTAAGATTTAAGATATGCAGAAGAATTGGACGCCGGCGGCGGGGGTTTGGTATGGGAACGTCGTTTGAATAGCGGCGGCGACGGGTGGAAGTAGGGGTTATACGTCCAGTTCTTCTCCCCCCAATGTCTCAACATACCCTTCCAATCACACAGTCTATCTTTACACCTCTTCTGCCGCTGATCCCGAATCTCGATTTGCCAGTGGCCGTCAGTGTACTTCGCCGCCGCCGCCTGCCGCCTGTCCCACTCCAACTGGGCCTTCTGCTTCGATTTCAGCAGGCACAACTCCTGCAGCTCCGCCTCCATGCTATCGTGCACTCTCCACCACTTACCGTGCGCTGCGTCGCTCGCGAACTCCTGTAGTATGTCTACATTCCAATTGCAATCGTAATCGCGGTAACACAGCCACGGCTTATATCCCAAGTAATGGATGGCGTATAGGACCGGCGGCTCTGCGGCGAACAGATCCGTTTTCCTTTGCTTCACCTCTGCCTCATCGCCGATCCAGAAATGCTTCAAGAAATTCATGTGTTTCGGAATGCGATGCCACCAAGTAAATATTTCGTTCAAGTACCCTTGATCTCCTCCATTGTAGGATTCGAATTCATTGATGTGATCCATGAGGAGGTTGAATGTGCAATTGGAAGGCTCGATCACCATCACCCCGGAGTTAAAGAGGGTTCCATTGTTCCCTGTTGCAGAAATTTCCGGCACTCTGAAGAGAAAATCTAGGTTTCTGAGGATGAGGAGATCTGCATCTATGAAGATGATCTTGTCGTAATCAGTGAGTTGCCATAACCTAAACTTGCTGTAGTTCCATTCATTGTATGCATCTTTCTCGGCTTTAGGGTTCCTTATTCTCTCGATTGTGCGCACCTGCCATCCTGCAGCTGCTAGTCCACTCATATGGTATTCGCTAATGGTGTTATCAACAAGAATCACCAGGTCTCTGGTTGATCCTGCCATTCTGATGCTCTGCGCTGCTGCTATGGCTCCACACACGTAAACGTAAGCAGAATGTAGAACCGTTGCATACGCCTCACGCTCTGGCTTGCCCGATTCTCCTGTTGTTTTTTTTATTATTTAAATTTTAACAAAGAGACCATTTAGTAATAAATAGAAGTATTATATGGTTGAAATGGCAACCCGGTTGAATTTTCAGAAATTAAAAATACTCCGTATTGCTTAATGTCCATTTAAGCCAAGAGTAAGTCGAAAACATCACATGCTGCCAACCATAGTTTTTCAAATTGCTTTGTACTTACTAACCTTTGGAGCCAAATGGCAGGGCCAATTCACAGGATCCTATTGGGAGCTGCAGCTTTTGTCTCAGGACATTCAAGTTTGGTTTGTATAGCCACACACTACCTTTGCGCGCAACGAGCTCGCGACAAGTGAACAGATTTGGTAAGGGGAAACATCGGGTGATTAAAAGCAAGTGCACCGGGCGGGTGCCTTTAGCTGAGGCTGCTAAAGACGCAGCTGAGAGCTGCAGGTGTAGCCTAGGGACATCTCTGGTCCAATTCCCATTGCAAGGGAGCTTAACCACAATCAGGTCGATTGGTTTTCTAGGCACGTCAAGCTTTGGTATAGAAGGACAGCTGGGAGTTGCATAAAGTTGTTCCTCATTGATCCATTCGGGATACAACGACTCCCAAGTCACATTCTGTTCTACGTGATCAAGATGCAGGACTATGTGGTTGGCTTTGGGAACCATCTTTCTCCATTGCCTGATCTCCACCTCATCAAAGTTGAGGAGACCAGTTGTTTGGATTTTCTTGTTTTCTGCTAACCCATTAACAACTACAGACACATCATCCCAGTTAACAACCATGTCTGATGCGTACCTGGGGTCTGAAGCACCCCAAACCCACCACCTGTTCCCCAAATGAGGCCTGCGTCATGTTAAGGCGGATAAATCTCATAAAGTTTTGGTACTACACCTAACCGTTTAGACTTTTTTATTATGAAACCTCAAGTTTAGAAGAATGGTGTGCCAACTTACTTACTAGAAGGTTGGGACGAATTGTTTCGGCGACAACCATTTGGGGTGGACAGAAGAATGAGGAATGTAGCAGTTACCAACACAAACAGCATAAGTTTGAGGGGATGCAGCTTCAACCTTGTACTCTTTTCATGAAAGGGTTGTTGGACAGGCTTGACTACTTCATCGATTTTGATTTTCTGCAGCTTTCTTTTGTGTACATCATCCCTGAGATTGGAGGGGCGAAACACGCAACATTTCTGTGTTAATGCATTTGTGAAAATCAAGAAAATTTGTGTAAATGGATGGGAGTGAAAACTCACGCGGATCGTAGTCTAGCCTCCATGATCCTTTTGTGGACAAGAATCTTTGGTGATGATTTTGCTTCAATGGATGAAAGAAACGTGAGATCTTCAAAACATTTACTGAATTAACTCTGCATCCATTCGGATAGTTGAGAAAAAACAGAATGAAGATCCAGGATATAATAGCTGGAAAGCTGGTATTCATAGGGTTCATGCATTCATATGCATATACACATTAAAAGAGAGTTCCCATATTAGGAGAAGATATTTTCATATTTAATTTAGAGATATACATGATTATAAACAAGTTTAAATTCAATAGTTGCATATGATATTGCAAACTGGTTTGTGCTATCATACCCTTAACGATACCACGCCTTTGATGAGTAGGTGATCTGAGTATACTTGTTTTTTTTTTTTAATCTTCTTATGGGGCTTACAGCTAAGAGTGGTAGAAATTAAAAATGGGGCATCTTAGTCTGAGGGTTCCGTAGAATTTACAAAATAATCTTTCTTAAGATGTAGGATAGACTCCCTTATGATTGAAGAAACCGCAACGGTTCACTATTATGACTTCTGTTAACTCTTATACGTAGGATCATATATATACACACACACACACGGATATACTCCCTCCGTCCTTAAATATTTGCAACATTTGCTTTCTCAGCAGTCGCGAGAACTTTTGTTTATTTCCACGTTTTCATTGGTTATTTGATAAAATAAAACATTCTTGACACCTCTTATTTTGAAAAACTTTTCATGTAATTTTTTTATATGTAAATTTTATTTTTTATTTCTATACTAATATGAAAGTAAAATGAATTGAAAAAAGTTGATATTTTACTTTGGGAATACAAGTGTGACAATATTTAGGGACGGAGGGAGTATATATATATAACTTCCTCCACCCTAGAGTATTTGTTCACTTTCATTTTTACACACCATCCAATGCACTTCTTCAATCCATTTTATCTTGTAATTTGTATATTAAAAAATTCTAGAAATTACATATTAATAATCTAAATGTTAAGACAAATTAAACAAGATCATACATGACTATATTTAGGCTTACACATTGGGAGAATTTGACGAATCAAAGTGCTTAGATGAACAATTCCAAAAGTCAAAAGTGGACAAAAACTGGGGGACAAAGGAAGTATAATTTTTTTATTAAAAAAGAAAAGAAAAACTTGAAAGAGAGGGGTGGCTTAGGCGCCCAACAAAGAAGCCAAATGAAAAGAAAAGTAGACAAGCAAAACAAACAAAACCATACAAGACCCTAGACCCTACAAACAAATATATATATATATATATATATATATATATATATATATATATATATATATATATATATATATATATATATATATATATATGGCATGAAAAATCACCCGAGGGTATGGCAGGGCCCAGAGAAGCCTTGCCTTATTTATAAATAAAAGAAAACACGATACAAAGGTGGGGGGCGGGCTAAACCCCTATAGAGGCCCGACTAAATCCAAAAGATAACTACAATACACATCAAATTTAAAACCAATTCAAACAGCCTCTATTGTTTTTGTTATACTTCTTCTTTTTCTTCTTTCCTTTCACACCTCCTTTAGGATTGAAGTCATCCAAAACATGAATAGCATCAAGCTCCATTTCAGCCTCTAGAGTATAAGAGTCTTCATCATCAACAAGCATCTCAATTTTGTCAGGTACAATTTCAAAAACCTCATCTCTCCTGTCTTTTTGCATCTTATGTTCTTCTCCATTCATCCCTAAAGGCATATCAATGAGACTGATTTGCGAGGAGCGTTCATAAATTAGCTTCGAGTCTAAAAGGCCCAATGGTTTGGTGGTAACCGCCTTTGTTTGACCTACCTCCTTATGGAATGCCAATGCTTTCAATTCCTTAAGAGACTTACCTTGCTGGAGACCTCCACTGTTAGCCTTTGGCTCTGATTCCATTGTCATCTCTTTCAGTTCCTTGACAGATTTGCCTAGTTGGGGATGCTTCAGAACTGGAATGGAGGGCTGGAAAGGTAATGCGTGAATGTTGAAAGCTCTGGAAGTGTTGTGCAGATGGGCAACTGAATTTGTTTGCGTAATTGAGGCAGCCCTGAGCAGAACTGTCTATGCTTTCATTTGAGCTAACAGCATTAAGACCCTGCTTACATGCATCAAAAGGGTCATTCATGAATTGTGTTATGCTTGGTGGAATATGACCCTTGGCCCAGTAGAAGGAATCAAGATTGTGAACGGCATGGTGATGGTTGGAGCCGTGACATTTCTTAGGCCCATCGGCATCACCGTAGCAAAGAGAGCTGGTTGGGAGGTGACCACCAGTCCAGTCACCCCTTCATTGGTTACCTGCACTTGGACAGAGGTAGTGGTGTTTTGTTGACTTGAACACATTTTGAGCATGTGGTGTTTTTGTAAGTAGGCTCTCTAGATGAAAAAAGAAACCTTAACAGTCCCACGATCGGCGCAAAAAATGATGGTGTAAATTAACCACCCGGGAAAACTGTACTAGATCGGGTCTTGAATAGTTCACTCAGTCTAGAGAATAAAAGGTTCATGAAAACAGAGAGCGACCGGTAGGACTCTAAGTGGAAACACCTATAGTCTAATTGTTATTAAGTATGTGGAGAATGCTAGGCGCTATTACAATATGAACTCGAGAGAGATAAAATTTGGATCTCTTCTTTCGAGGGTTACACGGGTATTTATAAGGAAATGGAGAGGACAGAGCGCCCCGCGTCCACATCAACCCACGTTCTTAGATGGCGCGAGGTGACCTCCTTTTGTCCCGACCCATAGCATTTTGTCATATTCTCTTGTCATCTTGTGCTGATGAATCCTCTTTTGGCGTGTAGCGCCCAACTGAGATTGAGGGAATATTTCCTCAATCTTTCGTTGAAATCGGTCACTACCGTTCAACCGACTTTAGAGTTATTTGTGCCGACACTTTTACAGTGTAGTAACCTACCTTGCAGGTTTACATCTCTTCCGTGTTCTAAAGAGGCAGAAGACCACCAGGTTGGAGTCACGTACTCTGACCGTAGAGTCTAAAGTTTGTATCGGTCAACTTTTTCAGACTCAACCCGTACTCTATTTTTAGCTCAGATCATCCATCTTGATATATTTGCATCTTGACTGGTCAACTGTTGTGGACCTGGAATCGGGTTGGGTCTTGGGTGGAATACACCCATCAACCAGAAAGAGAAAAGCTCACGTGACGAGTAACATTGTATGATGGGCGTGATGACGCGATCCACACCTACATACTATATGGGTTTTCTTCGTGATGTTGAATAAAATTTTATTTCGTACATTCTCGATCAAAAGTATTTATCTAATTTAATTTTTTCATTCAAAGTAGACAAACTTTATTGAACAATTAATTAAAAACAACATACTCGTAACATATTTATATAAGGAAACAATTGATTGAATTTTTTTTAGGGTCCGTTTGGTATACGGAATTGACGAAATTGGAATTGAATTGGAATTGAAATTCCATGAGATTTAATTTCATAGAATTGAATTCTACCAATTCCAATTCATTTTTTACACTTTCAATTCCAAATCCACATAATTTTTGTCCTATCAAACACTAGAATTGGAATTGAAGTCCTCAATTCCAATTTCATAGTTTGAATTCCGTGTACCAAACGAGACCTTAGAAATTAAAATCAATGAAATTATTTTATAGTAACATGTATTGTAATTTGAGAGGGGTTGAACCCCAATGTCATTTTATGACACGGGTTCCAATTGAGGTCCTTACAGTGCTACATTCATAAAAGTGACAGTTTCTATTCCACCTAAACCCTTCGTAAACCTCTCCATCTCGGTCCGACCTGACCCGAACACACCCCCTGCCCCTTTCAATTTCACCAATATTAGAGTCAAAATGTGATTCTAATGTCAACTAAATTTGGAGGTGCAATTGAAGGAGTGAGTTCGGTCGTTCGGCTCGGGCCGGAGTGGGAGGATTTGTCGGAGGATTAGGCAGGATAAGAACTCTTGTTTTTTTGGATGGAGGACCGTAAGGAATTTGAGTCACATTGATTTCTAATAGCATGAAAATCAAAACCAACGACTCCATCACAATTGAGGATTAAAAATGAAGTTGAACAAATATTTTAAGTCAAAAAGAGTAGTATTAATTCAATTTTTTAAAGTAACTTTGCAGATTTTTCTCCATCACATTTCACAACTATCATTATCAATCTCAAACCCATTGTTTTAATGTTTTTTTTTCAAGACTTGGAAATTTAAATCACCAATTTTCTCCCCCTGCCCCCACGAGCATGGACTCAACTCCGCCGGATAATACCTTCGGCTTCCACGATTTCAACGAAAGGCCGTCGCCGACTAGAAGAGAGCTACAAGGTCCACGTCCACCGCCTCTCCGAGTCAACAAGGATTCTCACAAGATCAAGAAACCCCCGGTTGCCCCCCAGCCGCGGCCGGCTGCTCCACTGCGCGCGGCGGCGCCAACGACAACCCAGAACCCCCAGCCGGTGATAATTTACGCGGTCTCTCCTAAGGTCATCCACACCACCGTCGGTGACTTCATGAACGTGGTTCAGCGCCTCACGGGGGCTGATTCCGCAGCCGCAGCCGGCGGATCCGGCGCCCTGTCCCCGGCAGCGAGGCTCGCTTCCATAGAGAAAGCAAGCCCTTCGGAGACGGCGGCGGCATCCGAAGCTACTACCAGTACCGATGTTCTACAGATAATTGAAAAATCAACGGCTCAGATGAGCCAGATCCGGGGAATTCTGTCGCCGTCACCGACAAGTTTGCCGCCCGTGTCGCCGTCGGGGCTATTCTCTCAGGCATCTGAGTCCCTGATGTTCATGAACAACAACATGCTCAGTCCGAGCCCGTCGGCATTGATTTCACTTTCAGCTCCGCTGGTTTCTCCACCTTCTTCCTCGCTCGATCATTTCAATCTATTCTACTTTTGACTTTGGGGGACAGACAGAGATATTCATTTTTTTTTCTTTAATCTGACCGCAATTAGCAGTCAATTGTAACTGGTAAGTTTTTGCTACCACTAGGATTTTCTTTAATCTTTATTTTATTTTTCTCTAAATTTATGTACTTGTCAAATGTAGCTAACGATTTGGCCTTATTGTGCCGAATTAGAAACAAGGGAAAAAAAACATTTTAATGACAATGTAACTGTGGATCCAAACTCCAATCACCAATCATCAATGCCGTAGGACAAGGGGTTCTACTCTAATGTTAATTTAAAATTCATTCCGTATTTAATAGAAAATGTGCTTTTTTTTGTGGTCAATTTTATTGGTATTGGTGGATGGAACAAGTTCGCAGTCCTCCATTGGTTAGTGCCATTTCCATAAATATATATCATAATTTAATATATATCTTTTCATAATTTATAGTCCAAATTTATAAAATATGACTAAAAAATCAAAAATGGAAGATTGTTTAGGATAAAGATAATATAATTAGAAAAAAATATAAAATAATATGAGGTATAACAAAACTAGAGCGCGGATAATGGATCCTGCAAAAAATGCTCATCAGAGTAATACGTATTTACTTACTATAGTCATATAAAAATATAGAGTAAATTTCATAAAAAATTCTTAGTTATATTTCATTTTACATATTTAGTCCCTACATATCAAATATCAATAATTTAGTCCTCATTTATTATATTCTTTTTCACGAATAGTCCTTTGTTAATATTTCCGTAAAAAACATGGATAAAATTGTAAGTTCACGCTCCTATCTTTCCTTAGTTAAGCTTCCTCCCTCCTCTCGCACTCTTTTCCCAAATTCGTAATTGAGTTTGAAGCTCTAAACCCAAAACCAAAACGATCACTCCTTTCTCAATCGTTCATCTTCTTGCTGGAACCCAAAATCAAAACCAATAACCTTCGTGGATGAGTTTTATGGGTTCGTATCAGCAAGTTATAAAGAAAACAAATCTTATAACTCATCCATGAAGGTTACTGGTTCCGATTTTGGATTCCACCAAGAAAACGAACAATTGAAACAGGAGTGATGATTTCGATTTTGGGTTCAAAGCTTCAAACTCAGCGACGGGTTTGGGAAAGGAGTGCGAGAGGAGGGAGGAAGATTAATTGAGGAGAGAGGGAGCGTGAATTTACAATTTTATCCACGTTTTTAACGGGAATGTTAACAAAGGACCATTCATGGAAAACAATATAATAGTTGGAGACTAAATTATTGATATTTGATATGTAGGAACTAAGTATGTAAAAAGTCGTATGTTACCAACATGCATTTCCTATGTTTTAGATAGGCAGAATTATATGAAGTTATCAATTATAGCTATATTTTAAACATAGAAAATTAAAGCATTTAACTTGTTTGACACACTTTTTTACTTTAAAAACATTAATAAAAATACTTAACAGTGATTAAAGCATGCTCCATATATCAAAATAGGTCTTCAATATTTTTATATCAAAACAAGACTTGTAATGCCAAAACACAATGCCAAAATTATACTATGAAATGCCAACACAATGCTGGCATTTCACAATGTCAATTTAGGGGATAAAACGTACGGTGTAAAAGACTTTATTTGATATAAGTTTCATACTACACCACAAGTAAAGAAATTTAAATATCTTGGTGTATCATTCAAGACAATGGAGAAATAGAGAATGATGTTAATCAAAGGATTCAAGCCAGTTTGTCAAAATGGTGCACTGTTTCAAGCTTTATATGTGACAACAAAGTACCTTTAAAACTAAAGGAAAAATTTTTACCGTACTGCTATCAGACTAGCTATATTGTATGGGACAGAGTGTTGGGCAGCAAATGGTGAACATGAACACAAAGTTAGTGTGGCGTAAATGAAGATGCTTCGTTGGATGAGCAGCCTCACACGTATAGATAGAATAAGAAATGAAGATATGAAGCTAAATTTAGAGTGATGCCTGTTGTAGAAAAGATGGTGGAAACTCATCTTAGGTGGTTTGAACATGTGGAAAGAAGACCTCTAGAGCATCCTGTAAGAAGGACTGACCAAATGGTGAATAGGCATGTGGCTAAAGGAAGAGGTAGAACATTGTTCCCGAACAATGCATAAGCTCCTAGGAAATAGTCATTTTTACACTTTTATTTCTGGATGCCAACTAAACTAAATACGTGACATTTTAAATGTTGACTGAACAGTTATTAAGTATGGATTAGTAACTAATATCGTAGTAACAATGAAGATAATTTAATTATGGTAAAATTGAAAAACCACATGCATTTACATTTTAATCAAATAAATTATTAATGGTGCTTCACAAAAAAATTAGTTAATTTTAAAGTCATTATTTTTATAATAATAATAATATATTCGTTCGATAGCACTAATCAAGGGAGACCTTCGCATGAATAGGGCGCAATGGCGTCGTTTGATCCATGTAGCCGACCCTACCTAGTGGGATAAGGCTTTGAATTATTCTTGTTGTGGTGGTGGATATAAGTTTCATTTTTAACTTTATTTAAGTAGATTTCTTAAACGTTATTTTGATATTAGTTTCATTTTTAATTTTATTTAAGTAGATTTCTTTTGAACATCAAATATAACGCAATATAGGTTTTTTGTTCAGATAGGATTCTTATGGAGCAAAAAAAAGTCTCCACATAGGACTTTAATTGCGAAGGAGGCAGAAACAATTGAAAGGAAAATGGGATATTTCCAGTGTACTGTCAAAAGCAAAGGTAGAACATTGAAAATAAATTCCATATATCATAAAATGGAAGAACAACAAACTAAATATAAAATCAATTTTCCTATAATAGATCATTCAAGACTGTTGAGTTCATGGAGAGCTCAGCATTCTAAGAGAAAAAGAAAGGAAAAGAATATATTGTAAGAAGATTACTCACTCATCCCTCTGCCGAGACATTGTTGGGAAGTTTCTCTATGCAGTTGGTGCTTTTGGAGCTCGAGGTGTCCCCGATCAAAGTTCCGACTCTTTCACCTTTAATGGCTTTAGCAATGTTGCCCGGTTTGTTGAGGTTAAAGACAGCAACTATATAAATCAAAAGTGTATTTCAGTTAGTACGCATGCAATTTTAGAAGCATTTTTTTCTTCAAATATATAAATGACCAAGAAGAAAATGTTGCAAGACAACATACGTAAAAGCGGATATACCAGGAATATTGTTTTCTTGGCACAAAGTGATTGCCGTCATGTCCATCACAGAAAGATCCTTAGAAGTTACATCGCGATAACTAAGAGAATCTAGAAGACGAGCGTTGGGGTTTCGCTTAGGGTCATCATCATAAACACCATCGACATTTGTTGCTTTCAGCACCACCTCAGCATTTACTTCACAGTTTTGTTTAAAAAGTGAACCCGGTTAAAAACAAGGACTAGATGGTCATACGTTTACACAACGAAATCAATAAAAAACACGTCCTTTTTTTTGTCATGGATCAAGAAATTCATAAACAAAAATAAAATCATATTAGCAGTTTGCTTCTAGATTAACAGAAATGAGCAAAAGGCCAGGAGACACAAATCTGACATTAAAGTGAATAAACATCCTTGAAAAAGAATTTAAGCAAACAGTTTATAAAAGTTCAACTCACTCTCAGCACAGCGCAGAGCTGCTGCAGTATCAGTTGTGAAGAAAGGATTTCCAGTTCCCGCAGAAAAAATTACCACTCTTCCCTTCTCAAGATGCCTGACAGCTCTTCTACGTATATAAGGTTCAGCAACTTCTGACATCTTAAAGGCAGTCTGCACTCTTGTTGGAATCCCAATACTTTCCATTGTAGCTTGTAAAAAAATTGCATTCATAACTGTAGCTAACATCCTGAAAATGAGTGTACAAGAACTTTGTTAACACAAAGACATAAGAAAATACTTGACTTACACAAATAGACACATCACGCTGAGCCACTGATTCCTGGAGCCACTTTGGAACAATTGGACTGTGATACCAAAGGGTATATATACTAGCGTAGGACTTAAAAAAATACACACACACACACACACGCACGCACACACACATATATGGACTCCCGATACACACTCTCAAGTAGTCAACTTAAGAGAGGTAAATTAAGAAATGATTTTAACATGTTTGAGGTTTCACACTTTATTTAAGTATTACTCAAAGAGTACCACACAAATAAGGTTAAAATTCTGCATAAATCAAGTGATTTGGCCGAGTAGATATAGGGCCTTAAAGATACATTCTTGGCTCATGGTTACAAGATTAAAATGAGAATAAAGGATGATGATTATGAAAAATAATATCCCTCTCCACATGCCCATCATTGTCTTGAGACATTACAATGATTTAAGGAAGAATAGTTCCAAGTCAAGTCTCCTTCAGTCAAGAAAAGTTGGTTATCAATGTGCTGCCCTCGAAATGAGTGGAATTCGTCCATGGGGTTCAGGTTAGTATGTGGTGTTTGATAAAGGAAAACTAGGTCTCTTAACAAAGAAAATTATGCTAAAATAAGAAGATATTAGTACACTGACGGAATATTAATCCATCGAGATAATGAATCACTCATCATGGGAATATTACTCAATATGAATATCAAATCTAATAATAACACAGAGATGTGACATGGAAATCCTAAATGGGAGAAAACCACGGCCCTCTTCTTATTCTTTTGGTGCGTATTTTGGCCAAGTGAGTAAAGGAAAAGGGAGGACATTATTTTTTTGATTTTAGAAATGTGTAATTTTGACAATATTAAGGAAAAATAAAGGTCTTTGGGTAAACCAGACTATCAAGGATAAAGTATACCAACACATGATGATGAGAGTACTTTCAGTTTTTTAGTGTATTTTTTGGCCAATGATTGAAATGACTAGGGACGGTTTTATTTTCATTCTTTTGATTAAGAAAGAAAGACTTAAGGTATTGATTGTCTTGGTTTTTCTTAGGAGGCTTCAGCCAAGGGGTGGTTTAGGGCTAGAAGAGTGGTCATTTGGGCCTTAAATGCTCTTAATCGGAGGAATTTAATCCACAATGGATTATAGCACTCGGGCATTATGCCCTTGACTTCCCTAAGAACATGTTGGGTGAGGTGCGGAGGTGTGGAGCCACCCTGGGAAAAATCAGGAAACTTGGGCAGTTTGCATTTCAATCTGCTCGCTAAGAGGGTTGGATTTTCGACATGCTGTTATAAAATTCCAGATGTTCCAAGAGGGCGTCATTTGTAAGGTTCCAGTTTCGATGGCAGTAACTGTTTGCTTTTAGAAAAAAAAAAGTACTTCATGGATAGGGCCAATAACACTAGAGAGCAAGATAAAGCATTCAATCATTATAAATACCCAATGTAATCAGCAGAAGAGCGATCAAGGCCACTAATTCCCGCCCAAGATGATCCGCGAAAAATATTTCCTCCACCGACCACTATAGCAACCTGAAGAAAAATCAATGTCACAAATAAAGCAAAACACTTTTCGTAAATTGATTTTATAACATCGAGACCATCTGATATCTTATTTATGTTTAAAATGAGGTTTGGACCATTTAAATCCTTTCATACAATTTCCCTCGATTCAATACCAACATATAAAATGTAAATTTCATAAATGCAGAAACAATAACTAAGAAGCAAAAAAGAAGGATAAACCCAATTACCTCAATGCCTAGTCGAGTAACAGATGCTACCTCCCTTGCTATAGACATTGTGATCTGAATAATAATAATAATAGGGTTGTTAACTGCAAGTCTTTGGGGAAGGTCAGACTTCTGTATGCATCTATAGAAAAATCACTTTAACATTTGAAAAGCACTTCCATCTGACCTTTGGGTCAATATTTTGTGATTGATCTCCAGCTAGCGCTTCACCACTTACTTTAAGCAAAACTCTACGCCATTTAAATGAAGGTTTGGAGAGTGTATCATCATCCATTATGACACCAAATGGGTTCGTTGGAGGAAATTGAGGTTGCCTATTACAAACAAAAATAAGAAAACATGAAATTATTGGAAGTTGCATGTTTGGAAGCAAAAGTAACGTCATGAAACGTGACCCAAGTTAACAACAATGCTGAAAGTGAAGCTGCTTTGGAATTTTGAAATTTATCATGACTAAATGGTACCAGTGCTATCAAACCATACCAAACTAAACACACCAACTACCCAGTATGAGTGAATATGTGATGTTTGAAAAATTGGCTTAGCCACTTAGGCACTCCTAAGAAGTGTTTAAATCGTGAATACTACACTTTATTTTTATTTTTTATTTTTTTGTATGTAAGAAACAACAACCTACTTTTTTTTGCTTGATTAGATATTGGTTTGAATTAGATCTTTCTTAAAAACATGGTAAAATCATAGTATATCGCCCTATGAGTGTAGATTTCTGCAGCATTGCCTTCAAGGGGTTCAACATAGGAATTTTATATCACAAAAATGATACACTAGCAACGCCGCAACGGACCTATAGCATAATCACCAACCGGCAGTGGCGTACCTGGCGCTGAAGGAGTCGTGGGAGGAGCAACAATGAATCCCCAAATGATGATTATGATGGCCTAGACGTCTAATCCGCGAGGGGAAGTTGTGCCGCGTTTGGGGCTTAGAGACGAATGGAGAGGGAGAGCGTGAAAAGGGTCGGGTAAAAGCCGGAGAAGAAGTAGTAGCCATTGAACAACAAGCTGGTACAGAATGAAGAGGATTTGGACAAACCCCCTTTCAATGCTCAGCTTGAAATTAGACACAAACAAATAGAGAAGCTCCCTCCGAGCTTTTAATACTTTAAAAGAAAAGCTAATGTCTGCACAAGTCTTGGTGTCCCATAATTGGACTTTGCCATTTGAGTTAATGTGTGATGCTAGAGATTAGAGACTAGACCTGGCAATCGGGTCAATCGGTTCGGTTCTGGTTCGAGTCTTTTCGGTTCGGGTCTCATTCGAATATATGTTATAATCGGTTCGGTTCGGGTCAGTTCGGTTCCGGGTTTATTTCGGTTTGACTGGTTTTCGGTTTCGGTTCGGTTTCGATTCGAGTTTGTATCGGATCGGGTTTATATCGGTTCGGGTTTGTATCGGTTCGGGTTTCTATCGGTTCGAGTTTATATCGATTTGGGTTTGTATCGATTTATGTTTATATTAGTTCATATATATTTTAAATATTTACTAATAAATCAATAATATCACATAATAAATTTAATCAATTTATGATATACTCCGTAGTTATTTTATTATTTAACAGAGACATACATAAAATTTAATCAATTTCGGGTCTAATCGGTTCCGGGTTTAACCGAGTTCGGGTTTTATCGGTTCGGGTTAAATCGGATTCGGATCTGAATCGGGTCTGAATACATTCGGTCGGGTTCGGTTCGGTTCGGATTATTTCGGGTGTTCGGTTCTATTTTGGTTCTTTAGTTTTCGGGTCAAATCAGGTTCGATTCCGGGTTATTCGGTTCGGGTTCGGGTCAGTTTTGTCAGGTCTAGTAGAGACCATGTAGTTGGGGCAATTCTTGGAAAAAGGAGGGATAAGGCCTTCCACCTAATCTACTACGCCACCTAAACATTATTAGGGGCACAACTTAACTATACAACCACTGAAAAAGAATTCTTGACCATTGTTTATGCATTGGAAAAGTATAGGCCGTACATCATTCTTTCTCAAGTTATCGTATACACCGATCATGCGGCATTATGATACTTCCTTAAGAAGAATGATGCAAAACCTAGACTATTATGTTGGGTGCTATTGTTGCAGGAATTTGATTTACAGGTTAAAGATCAAAAGGGGTCACCAAACCAAGCGGGTGACCATCTCTCACGTCTTGATGTGGAGGTGGCTGAATCTTTTGGGAAGTGCGAAGTAGATGAGGCATTTTTGTTTTACTATTTATTTTATTTATCTTTTCCTTTTTTATTTTGATGTTGAAAAATAGGAAGGAAAGCTTGTCGCATGTAACACCCCAATCTGTATAACCCGGAATTACACGAATTAAGGTGAAACGAGGGTTAATTAAAAATTTCGCTTGACATTTGAAAATGACAATTACTTATAAATATCAAATTTACAGACTCTGGATCGCGACCCATTTAAAAAATATTTTCAGAGTAATGCGGAAGTACAATAATAATCAAATCATGACACATTTAAAAATCTGATGATCAACATTTGCCTGCCAACCTTGCATCTCCTCTGACTCAATGCCCTCCGGGAGTGGTTCCATCATTGTCTTCTTGTTACCTACGTGTAGTCAACGAAAAATACAAACTACACGCTCAGTGAAACCGCTGAGTGGTACCACACTAAAATTGTAGAATGATTCTCAGACATATACATATACATATATATACGTCCACAAAATGTATAGTAACATTCATGATATGACACATATTATCATATGGTCAATTTGATGAATCATGATGATAAATATTTAATGATAATTACCTGATGGCATATTTAATCAATATAATTATTCTTGATGATGATTACATGACACCTATGTAATCAATATAATTGTTTTTGATGATGATTAAATGACACCTATGTAATCAATGTACTTGATGATGATAACATGATTTCACATTTAATCAATTTGATTGTTCTTGATGATGATTACATGACACCTATGTAATCAATGTACTTGATGATGATAACATGATGCATGATTCTAACGAGCAAGGACACCCTTGCGCTATGAGATTCACCCATTTTGTACGACGAACTCACGCGGCCTTAGTCTCACGAATGAGGTGAGACTAGAAAGATAGGGGTGGTACTCGAAAGCCTGAATACCATGTACGTACACTAAGCCCGAAACGGGTGATGTTGGACTGCTAAGTCCCGCACATCACGCTATAAGAGACGCAATTACGCATGATCTCTTACGCATGCACATGATATGATATGCTACAATATGTGTGATGATATGAACAATTTGTAAACAATATAAATGGATAAATATACTTTATTTTATTTGGGTGAAATCTGATAAAAATATCATTTAATTAAGCTACGAGGCTCGGAACGGTCGACCATTTGGCGCGACGGTCGACCTTGATCTTCATCGTATCGGGCTGGTAGATCACCGTGACGGTCGACCGCGGTTGAACGGCGGTTGACCGTTGTTGACTGGGTGGCGACGGCGGTTCTCGTCTGGGCGGGCGACGGTCGACCGTTTGCCACCGGCGGTCGACCGTTTGTCTGACAGCCAGGGTCCATTTCGATGTTTAACGCGACGGTCAACCGTTTGCGTTGACCGTTTGGGTCTGCGAATCTTTCTCTTGATATTTTGAGTGTCAAAATACTTCTTTAAGTCTTTTAAGCACCTTTGATTAACATATACATATTGTTGGGTTGATTTCCAAAGTTTATATTTACTTATGTGTATATTAACTTTATGGATTTGGTGTATTTTGATCTCAATATATAGATAACTTATATATGTATCACATATATATTTTGGAATGGTTTTAACATATGGAATAACATATATGTTCATGTATGTATGTGATGAATGATTCGACAAGTCTAACGCAAAGGTATAGACCTGGAAATCATCGGCCGAAACCTTACGGATGAGCGGGAGTGGAAACAACATCGAAATTTGCCAACTTTGTCATTTCCGTCACAATTGGACAGCCTGCCGTATTTTGGGCATATCTCCAACATTTGTTCACGGAATTGCAAACCGTTTGATTCTGTGGATTCCTAAGATGTAAGGCTATAACTTTGGTATAGAAAGTATTTCGAGTTAACATATGTAAGATAGCGTAAATTGGACCTGAAGTCAAAGGATAGTTGCTGTCCAGGATTTCGGATATGTCGATGAACAACGATTTCGACGATTAACTCATTGACTTCAATATTCCAACTCCGAACCTTCTCTATGATACCTTCTGGATGTTCCTAATAATCGTTAGAGAGTTTATGGTAAGTGTTTGGAATGAAACCACATGGATATGGTGAGGAAACATAGCCAACCCGAGGAGCTCGCCACCAATGGCGCAGTACCGGTATTTTGGCCATATCTCCTTCGTTACTTAACGAAATCGCGATCCGTTTGTTGGGCTGGATTCGTATCGTCCGAGGCTACAACTTTGGTTCAGAAAGTATTTCGAGATAATGGATGGAAAATTACAGAACTTACGTAGAAGTTGATGCTGCGTTTGGAACTCATGATTTGGAAACTATGGATGGTTTTCTTGCTCTTTCTCCTTCTTCCTTAACACACAACCATGAAGTTGTTGTTGTGTTTTTCTCCTTGTTGTCCAGCTGAGAGAGAGAGAGTGTGTGAGTTGGTGAAGGGGATGATGGATGATGATGCTGGAAGATGATGATGATGGTGTGGTGAAGTTGTGTAGGAAATGGGTGAGATTTGGAGTATTATATAAAATCTTGACTTATTAGGTAGTGGAAAAATAATGTGATGGCTAGTGGAGAAAAATAGGGGCTGCGTGATTTGGGAAAGATTTGGAAAATAAAGTTTTGGCTTCTTGCCAAAACTGAACAGTTTACTCCAAACGGTACGTGCTTTTTCGCCCAAATTGTTCCGAATTGAAAACGGATTGTATTTTTGGAATCAGACTGTCAAAACTAGAATTTTGACGTAATTAAAATATTTTTCTGAGAACTTTTATTTTTCTCAGTGTCCGGGTTTGTCTCAGTCATAATTTAATATAATAATATGAATGAGATAAAAATATATGAATTAAATCCAAATGATAAATATGATGTTGTCAAGTGTCAAAATTATGATTTCTAATTTGATGAAATTACCTTTGAATTGAGTTTATTTTATGGGTCAAAGTTACAAATTTTAATATTTAAAATTGTCATAACTTGAAATTTATAAATCAGATTGATTCATAAAATGTACCGTTGGATTCTTCTCTTCGAGACCTATCCATAAAAATAAGTTTTTAACAAAAAGTCATTATTTTGAAAATCCCTTTATTTTTGGTCAAACATACAAATATTTCTTATTGGACAAAAATTACTTTTGTTTTATAATAAATTTTAGGCCATATTTTGTGGCGTTACATCGCACCTGTTTGGGGACAAAGATTTTACTTGCTTCTTTATGTGTGCAGATGCCTCACCGACCACAGTTCCCCACTATTGCACGCGTTGATGTTGTCTTGGTTGATGCGGAGACTAGTGAGAGGTTTGACAGCTGGGGCTAGTCACGTGCCTTACACGAGTCGGTGTACCTATCTCACGCGACCCTAACAGACTTTGGCCATGGCAGAGTCCAGGCTTCCTTTGACAATGCCTTACACGAGTCAGCGCCTTTTCATGCTCATGGCAGAGTCCAGTCCTCCTCTGACGGAGTTCCTATACTCCCTCACAACGGTCTCGGATTGGGAGTCTCGAAGGATTACTCATAGCATGATCAATTCTCGGACTGTGCTCTCTTTCACTCTTTTGGGACGTCGGTTCCACCTGACCATGGGGGAGATGGCGACCCATTTGGAACTCTACACATGGGAGGAGACGGAGAACCAGTCCTTTAATGACATGCCCTTACTCACATGTTACTAGGATTCGTAATTATCCTGTTTCTCTTGAATAAGATAGCCTTACGGCGTATAATATTTTTCAATATATAGCTTATTAAATACTTCAATATTAATACAAGATAATCATTCCAACATTAACAAAACATTCAAAGTATATACACAAACTAGTTCGAACCCTAACTCATACTATGAAAAATAATTAAAATAGCATCATATTAAATTGGGAACACTTACAAAACTCCGAACAAGCGTAAATTGAACAGATCTGGAGTTGGAATCTCCGGAAATGCTACGAAACTAACTACTACAAAAATATAAGCTAAAATGAGAAATGGGGAGATAAAACCCGAAATTGGGTTAGGATGTGAAGGATAGAGTGGGAGGATCGCGTTGTTTATATAGGGATCGGAAGTACGGAACCCAGGCGTCCAACTTGGACGCCCCAACCTCGATGACGCGTTCGATCAACTGAAAATCTTCCACGTGTAAGTCGTTTCATCGTTCGGAAGAAGTCCCAGGCGTCCAAGTCAGGGCATCCAACTTAGATGCCCCAGCTCCTGCTCTAGGCTTCTACGCGGGTTTCAACTCCAGTTTCAGCCTAGTTTTGTCCTTTTGGCCCTTGAAAAATGATTTTGACCTCCTAGAAGCTCGTTCAAGCCCGAATCTTGGTCCTTTGATTATTGATTTCCTTTTTCTCAAGTATTTGAACATAAAATAGATGATTTATGATGATTTTATATGGAATCCTTTTTTATGACTCTAGAATGAATACAAGAGTTTTGTTCATAGAAAACATATTTTATGAGATGATTAAGTACTATTTATGTGCAATAACATTTATAATATAAAGTAAAAGATAAGAACAAAGTGGACTTATCAAATTCCCACACTTAAACGTTGCTTGCCCTCACGAAATAAGTTGAAGATATATAAGTATAGAGGTAAATTAGTAATCACAGAGGAAAAAAGTTTAAGGTACATGTTATGAATGAACAGAGAAATATAATAGTAATCAACATTTTGTGAAAACAATTAAACTTATAGATTCTCACCCATATCGCTAGAAATTTAAAATTAGTTTGTCAAACCAATGTTTTTTAGAACTAATCTTATTAACAAAATTTTCCGATCTTTCTTGGGATAAATACATTTTTTTAATAAAAGTTACTAAGATCAATTAATTCTTAATGGTAAAATTGACAAATTCGCTCTTTTTGCATACTTTGTCATGCTGACACGAGTACTTTTTTTCTTTTTTTAGTCCTCATCCCGTGACAAAGAACCACGAGCTTTTTGGAACATTTTCAATCCTCATCCAATGACATAGAACCGCAAGCTTTTTGAATGGTCACTCTGGAAAATCACATCACGCGACATAGAACCGCGTGCTTTTTGGTGTACTCACCAAGTCTCCTCAATTGACATAGAACCAACTGTTTTTGGCTAAAACAAAAATCTCGATCTCACCAAAGTATGTAAAAAGACATTCCCGTACATTTTAATCAAAATTCTTTATAAAGAACCAACTAATACTCAGATTCCCAAAGGTAAAAGAGTATTTGCAAAAAAAATTCAAATAGCATTATAGATTATTTGACCTTAAAAAATATCAATAGAATTGAATTTACCCCAAATAATTTTAGAAAACATTCTCAAAAGTTTAAGGTAAAAATAGAAGTTTGGAAAAAAAGTTAAAAATTTCCAATTTTTATCGGTGATAACTAAATATTAATTAATTAAACATAAAAGTGTCCATGACTATTTTATAAAAAATTTCCTTCACACATATAGACAAAAAAATTCCTAAAAAGACCATTTCAACTAGAAATTCTCGCCTCTTCACACATAAACAGAACCGCACCCTTGCAGGTAAAAGAGTGCTTTGGACTAAGAGTTTATGGTAGAAATGTCTACATGCAATTACCCGGTTGACCTCATACCTACAGGATTCAACAATGAAGATTGAAATAGGAAATAGTTATATCATAGAAATATGCATGAAAATCACTCATGTGTTCAGCAGACTCATTATGAAAAATTCCAAATAAAAACCAATCAAGCTTCTAGTTCATACTCCCTACGTCCCCCTGTATTTGTCCATATTTGACTTTTGGAACTGTTCATCTAAGCACTTTGACTTGTCAAATTCTCTCAATATGTAAGCCTAAATATAGTCATGTGTGATCTTGTTTGATTTGTCTTAACATATAGATTATTAATATATAATTTTTATAATTTTTTAATATACAAATTACAAGATAAAATGGATTAAAGAAGTGCATTGGATGGTGTGTAAAAATGAAAGTGGACAAATACAAGGGGAGTGAGGGAGTATTCAAAAATAAGTAGCATAAAAAGAAAAATAGGGATCTCACTATTCCTGACGTCTCGAACAAATTGCTTCTCCTGGCACACGAACAGATATCTAGCCACCTCCGGGATGCCGAAATTGCTTTATGATTATTCCCAATTGTTCCTTCTGTGCTGTAAGTTGTGCCTCTATGTTCTGAAAGCGGACATCAATGGAGGTCCGAAGTGCAACAAAAGCCTCAGCGAGCCCCTCTAAAGAGGTGGGAACTGCAAGAGGTGGTGGTGCCAAGGGTACTGTGACTCCTGCTCTGAGTGGATGACCTCGATGTGCCTCCCTAATTTGCAAGTTCTGCCTGTCAAATCCCATATGATCAAACCAAGTACTTGGGACTCTCGTATGTGTTCAGGGATTACCATCTCTAACTGCAATCCTCTGGCTAGCAAAGTAATAAGAGATCCGCACTTGACGAATGGGCGATCACCTATAGACTGGTCATATAGAAATCATGCTACAAAGGTTGCCACATTCACTGATGTACGTGTCTCTAGACTCCAGAAAAACAGCAAGTCTGACTCAAATACTACACTGGCATTGTTGAAAGCCCAAAATAGCTAGCAGCCAAAGACTGGTTCATGATTTTCCTAGAGGGCCTGGCCTCAACCAATTCTTCAATAGACTCAAACCACTTTTGAACTCTTCATGGCCACGGGAATGAGCTCGCCAGAATGCAATGGCATCAAAACCAGGACAAACTTGATCTGGTAGCCGGGCAAAAGCATCGCTAAGGGTCTCGTCAAAAGTGTATAGTCCATACAACCAAACAAGGTCAGCCACCGTGAATTCGAACCTCTACCCCAACATTATGAAAATCATCCTCGAAGTAGAGATGATGTCCCTATCTTATCGTGTGCCAATTCCGTCACTGAAAAACCGAAGAGAGCAAAGGAATTCAATGGTGAGCTCTAAACTAGCTAGGGCATGTAAGAATAGCAAGATCCTCCACTTAGAATTATAGAGGAAGTCATCCAAATCCTGCCAGTAGCCCATGTAAGACCCTAATCTGTCTAGGTATGTAGCCCCTTTTGGACTAAAGTATTAACTTGGTAATCGTAAAAATTTAAAACATTTCAAACACTTTTAATTATCACAATTATATTTTTCATAAAAGAAAGAGTACATAGTTTTCAATATTGCGGAAGCTTAACAAATCACAATCACAAAACATAATTTATTTATGTTATTTAATTCAAAACCATCACATCCATCTCGACAATCTCGCCTCCATCTGTCTTCAGGATCACGTCACATCGTTATTTCTACTTACCTGCGTGTAGCAAATAAAATATACTACACGCTCAGTGCTGAAGCTAAGTAAGAATATCTAATGCATCGACCATCCATATAAATTGAATCTCAATTCATAATCAAATCATTTGATATCATGCACATAATGTTCAGTTCAGGAATTCAATAATCCATATTCAATATTTAATGTTCAATATCCATATTCAACATTCATCAACAATACCCTTATACTATTT